CTCATTTTCTTGTGGGAAGACCCTTAACTACCATACCGGACCCGAACTTCAGAGACATTCCCATGAATCAAACGTCCAGATATCAGCTTATCCAACAGTGTCATCAACATTTTTGGAGCCGTTGGCAGAAAGAGTATATATCCGAACTCCAACAGAGAACTAAATGGAAATCGTCCCAGGGAGAATTGAAAATTGGTTCCTTGGTCTTGATGAAGGAAAATAATTTACCTCCTTTGAGATGGAAGTTGGGCCGCAATATTCATCTATATCCTGGAAAGGATGGTGTCAGTAGAGTCGCTACAATCAAAACATCAATTGGTGATATCAAGAGATCTTATGCAAAGTTATGTCCACTTCCAGATTCAGATTCCAGTTAGATGATGGAAGAATACGTGAGGCCTTTCAAGGCGAGGGGGCATGTTTGAGAATTTGAAGAAATTAATATTCATTTTGATCCTTTTTTAAATGTTTTTTGTTACGCCAATGTTTATTTATATAATTGAAAAACGTCACGTAATTGTCAAACACTTGATTTCGAATTGTACAACATTTACGAAATAAAAATAGTTTTAGAAGCTACAAGCAGCCCAGTTTCTTAGTAGAACAATGTAAGCGGTTCAGACTTTAGTTTCAATAACATAATTTGGTAGCAGAGCCTGGTTACCAGAATAAAAAACATAACACGACTTAGAAACCAAGCAGCTAAATTCACTAATGTGGATTAACACATAATAGATCAAATCGTAGAAAAATGCACATTGGTAGAACTCAGGAAAAAAATTCTTGCCACTGGTGATGCATCAAATCTCAATGGAATAATTGCAAAAGCCAACGCTCTGGAAACTGTCAATAGACAGTTGGAAAGTTTTGTTGACCTCAAGTCAAAGATGGTGGAAGTGAACAACATTTCTCACTCGAAAGGATGCTTCCGTTGTGGCGGAAATCATCCTACAGATTCTATAAAGTGTCCTGCTAGGTTGAAATCATGTGGTAAATGCGGGTACAAAGGGCATTATCAATATTACTGTCGAACGAATCCAAAGAAATGCCAACATATCAATTTCTCAGGTCACAGTAGGCCAGCGAAAATCAGGAAAAACATATCTGACAACTCTTCAGAAAATACTGCGAAGGAGGAAGAAATCGATTATGTCTCTCAAATCGACAACGACAGTGTTATGGCGTGTAACATTGGGGTGTTGCCATTGATATGCTGTATTGAAAATCGTCGAGATTTCATGAAATTTTGGAGTTTGGAGCACCCAGTATTGGCTGTTTGTGTTCTGATTTATAATGAATGAAACATGATTTGTCAGATTTTGATATAAGAATTGTCGGATTAAATGCATTTTCGAAAAGTTATTAGAGTCTTTGTAAAGAGTTTATTCCATTTGTATCCTTTTCGATACTTATTCTTCACCGGGTAGGTGCCGTTTTACGAATTTTTATAACATTTGGCGACCGTGACAGGATATGGAAAAACTTTTGAAGACTTTAGAGGTCCACCGAACTTCGTTCACACAAATCTATACCGAAACGGTTCGACTGATGGAAAATGCAGATTTGGATATAGCTGACGTAATGGGGAATGTTAAGTTGTTAGACGAGAAGATTGAAGTTATTCGAGATTTGGATAAGCAGTTCCTAGAGAAGATGTTGGAAGAAGATACGCCTGCTGACGACGTAGATGATGAGATAGCAAGGTCAGATAAACTGTTGAGTAATTATAATAGACTTAAGGCAAAAATTGATAGATATCTACCAAAAAATACGCTCTCTGTCACCACTGTCAACACAAGTCAAAGTATGCGAAATATTAAGTTACCGAAAATTGAACTCAATAAATTTTGTGGTGATATTAAAAATTGGTTACCATTTTGGGCACAGTTCAGCCGAATTCATACTTATGAATCGATCCCTGCTGAAGATAAGTTTCAATACTTAATCCAAGCCACTGTACCCAACTCCCAAGCTCGTCAACTAGTAGAAGGTTATCCCTCTTCAGCTGAGAATTATCCCAAGGTTATAGAGAGTCTCAAATCTCGTTTCGGCCGTGAAGACCTACTTATTGAAGTTTATATTCGAGAATTATTGAAGTTGATATTGACTAATTTGGGTTCTAAAGCAAAACTTAGTTATCTTTACGACCAAATTGAATCACAAATGAGATATTTAGATACATAACATCGGATAAATGTGCGGCTATAATTTTTCCCCTGGTTGAGTCTGGCTTACCGGAGGAAATTCTAAGAATTTGGCAGCGCAGTTGTAATTTTGATTCTACAACTAATTCGAAATCAAAATTAGATAAATTGATAGATTTTTTGAGAAGAGAAGTGGAAAATGAACAAAGAATTTCACTTGTCGAATCTAGTTTTGATATTCACCAGAAAAAGAGAAATGTTGATTTTAATTTACCGAGTACATCTACTTCGATACCAACTGCATGTGTTCTGTCAAACTCCCGAAAAGCAACCAAATGTGTTTTCTGTAAGAAAACGACTAATTTTTCTACTGATTGCGAAGATAATGAAATTGAAAAATTATCTTTTGATGAAAAACGTAAAGTTTTGGTCAAAGGTGGTACATGTTATATATGTCTGAGATTCGGGCATGTTGCTCGTAGATGTTCTGTAAACATTAAATGTTCTGAATGTAAAGGTAAGCATGCTACTTCAATGTGCGATCAAAAAGCGAAACCTAAAGAGAAGATTCAACATTTTCAGACGGATTCAGAAAACATTAAGACAGTAGAAAGTTTATCCGACCCATCTTGTCAGATGGGTCGTGAACTCTATACCTACTACCTGGGACGGACCCGACCCGTTTTCTGTAAAGCGAAAAGTGTGTCAGGGGCAGTTGAAAGAGAGATAGCAATATTAACGGTAACCTTTCTTTGTCATATTCAAGCATATAAGTTATGTTTTGATGCATAAAATACCTTTGAGGTATAAATTCAGCTATTTCTGAGGTTATATTTGTTCAAAGAGTATAATATTTGTGAAGATATACATTTATGTTGTTCTAGTGTGCTATTAGTTTCGCTTCCTTTGTCGTGTGTGGTTTAATAAACACTCAATTTTGTTGTATGACAAACTGTAGGTGGGGAAGATTACGTCTGACAAAAATACCAACTCCTCCTCCCGCACGTCAAACGCGTTCTCTGTGGTAAAAACGGTAGTTTGGAATCCCAAAAGGTTCGTTGTGCAGGTGAGTTTCCTGCACAAGTACGACGTTAATTTTTTTCATCGATTAAGAATTTTTCAAAACCCAACTTTTTGTGTAGAATCCTACTGATATTCCAAAATCCGACCTTGACAGAGTAAATCAATGTAAGTTGTTTAGTCATCGATGTTCACCGTAAACATTTTTTCGAGTACGGGAAACTGTGTAAATAGTTTCTTCATCTGGTCCAGGGCAGAACAGATATCAGTAACCTTCGCTGGGGTACTTCGCTTCGGTACTGAGGTCGGCTTGGCGGAGGTGTCAATACCGCTTATTTTAGCCGCCCCAGCATAACGTATACTTGGGCTTGTGCCAGATGCACCGGCAGGCCGCCTTCCCGGGGTAGATGCGTTTCGGGCAGCACCTGCGGCTACTTTGGTCTTCCTGCGAACCTTAGGGAACTCAGGACAACCGCGGAAGTTCGCAGTGTGCGTACTCTTTCTGTTATTGCACTTTGGGGGTTCTGTGCGTGTTTTTTTGTATTCACTTGAAAGGTGCACTTGACGCAAATGGATATAGCTAGACAGTTTTGTTGACAGTGTCCAAAACGCTGGTGCCAATGCCCTACCAATGTCTTCTGATGGTGGGGTTCCACGCGAACTTTGACGTTGAGCAGTTTTGTGATGTCCTATATATTCTGTAGTGCTGTAATTTCATATAATCGGTTCTGGTTTGGTATATGTTCCTGGATGAGCGGGGGAGGGGACCGGTAGTGGAGTTGGTAATGTAAGTATTTTGTAGCCACCCTGCAGGTGGCTACTTTTCTCTAGTTACCGACTAAATGAACCTTGAAGGTCTTTCAGGTCTGTCTTAATCCTTCTACTGGTGTTTTGTATTGTCAATCAATCAATCAATCAATCAATTTATTCATTGTAAATGAAACATTACAACGTCGTTATTTCCTTAGTATTAAAATTAAAATACATATACACAGAGATGCACAGATCAAAATAAAATAAATATATACAAAATTATCATGGACAGGAAATCAGAGATTTCAGACCACCTAAGTAGGTAATGATGATTTAATTAGTGATAATTAGAATGTGACTTTAAAAAAGTTCTGTACTCTTTTCATCAGTTATTTTTTAAATCAAGATTTCAGTTTATATGTTGGAGAAATGTAAAAAAAGTCATTTATGAAATCTCCATCAGTTTATCAGTTCAAAGAAAAAATATCTGGATAAACATCAATCATTCAATTTATGTAGGTATACTTTTCATGTCCAAAAATGTAACTTTGTTATACAATTGTCCTCAACGAACAACTTGATTTAAATAATAGTCCTCTCCTGAACCTATAATTCAGATCCCAAAACCTACATTATATTGAAAGCTTTGTTATGTTCATGGATTTTACAGGTATATGAAACGCAGGTACCGGGTATCTGGTATATCAGGTATATCAAATCATTTATGATAGAATAAGCAACATAGGTATAAATCACTCAGATTTAAATGTAATCAGTCAGTTTTGAAAATGGTGTAATAGCCGAAACCGGTCAACAATAAAGAAATATAGTGGAAAATAGACAAAAGTGTGTTTTCAGTGTATCCTCAGTAAATATAAGAAAATAAAAATTCAAGTTGTTGTCCATTGCACGTGTCAGTGTGACGCAGTGGAATAATGAATAGAGTTAAATTCTTTTTTTAAAACATCAGTTTGCTTTCATTTGTTATATCCAAAGACTAGTAATGAATTACTACTCAAATTCGATTTGGAAAAAAAAACAAATAAAAAACAACAAAAGTATATATTAACTTATATAATGATATTATTTGCATTCTTCATGGTAAGGCTCCAAATTCCGTACATCTCTCCATGTCGGGGGTGAATTACTGCGCAAATGATTTCCACATCTCTTGCAGGAAGCACTGAATAGTGTGATATAACTGTGGAACCAATGCTGAAAAAAATCAAAGTGTTACAAGAAAAGTTTTCATGCCCAGAGGCATGATTAAAGAGATAGAAATCCGGACTGGTAAGTTGTGGTACTTCAGGTTCCATTCGATCACAGCCTACCAGCCCGGAGAATATTCTATCAAAGTGCTAGTTTTTTTTAAGTGAAATATTCTACAATAGAACACAGAATGTGGGATTTTATGGCCAGAGTGAACTGTGCCAAAACTATTTTCTTTTGAAGGGGATGAGGATGAACAGGTTTTGAACATGCACTGTGAGGCTGAAATGAGCATTTTATCAAAGTAGTCAGATTGAAACAGCACCGACCGGTTTGTTTAAAAATGGTTTGAATCCATTTTCCTGAAATGACTCCCCATTTGGCTAAAGTTCAGGATTTCAGATTATTATATATCAAAACTTGTTATAATTATATGAAATTTTCAATACACAGTATTTGGAATGGAGAAACTTGTAAATTTTCGATTTTTGAATGGATACAAATTTGCACTAAACTTCAAATTCATCGACTACAAATTCACATACGAGGTTTATGGATATTTTTTGCTTCACATCAGATAAAATAAAAAAAGACTGTTAGGAAAAGTTGTTCAAAGTATTACTCTACCTGTATATTCTGAATTCGAAGATGAAATTCCCATTTTGTAATTGTTTTTCTCTTTGCCTACATAAAAAATTATTATAGATTCAAAATCGAAATAATATAGATGTTCGATGAACATGCTCATTGCTCATAGTAGAAAACTAGAGCCCAAATACAATGCATTTATGACTCAACACCAACAGCGCTATTTCGACCCACCATAGGTCTCATTAGTGGTGTTAGGCTGAACCCATTGCTGGATACAACTGTCCCCAGACTGTTCATTGAATTGACATGAAATCCAAAACAAGCATTACTCCCAAAAACTAGAACTAGAACACTCTTCTCGACGCGCGTTTCACCAACCAATTTGGCATCTTCAGGAAATGAAGTAGACTGCAGTGCTTGTTTTAGATTTATCATATCATATGTTATTTCACACAAATATTTCATTCGAGATAAATGAAGATGTGACATAGACAGGTTATATTAGAATTCACTTTTCTGAAAGACCTGATAATTCTTACCATAAATGATCTTACTGCTAGCTCTGGCATAGTTGAGGAATGGAAATGACACATCGCAGCATGGCAGTTTTCAGTGACTTTCCTAAATACTTTATATTGAGACCCAGTCCACAAGTCGTTTGACTCAGCATGAGCTTTTACTACCACAAACTCAATCATCATTCCTTTGAATGCAACTATTGCCTTCATCACTCTTCCCAAAGATACCTAGAATACACAAAATATTTCTACCATATGAAAATTACCTTAATTCAACGTTATAGTCCATATGAAAATAAAATCAAGTTCCACGGTTTTGATAACACTTCGAATGAAGTGTTCATTAGCAGGAATCCACAGAATTTCCAATAATGTAAAATGCTTCATTAACACATACCTAAGTCTCATTTCCACAAATTCAATAATTTCATGTTATCTGGTTATAGTATACCTATCTACCTACTCTAAAATTTATGTATGCCCTTATTGACATGCATCCGATTTTATTTTGAATGAACTATTATTGGATTGCAAAAATTTTGAAGGAAATAGTGGTGGATAGAGGGATAGGTAAATCTCAAATTTAAATTATATTCATGGTTACTCGACATGTTTTGATTTTCGTTTCAAAAATAAATTTTGATCAATTACCGATTGTGCAGAAGGTGTCAAGTTAAAATAGGTATGTGAGATATTTGACCTTTACCTATAATCCATCAAAATTTCAACCCATCAAAATTGTATTATGATATAGTACCTGTATAACTGGATTATGACCTAAAGGTCTGCTTGTTGTGAAAGTGACATCAGGCAGAAGTCTGTCTATACTGGTTATTAAATTTTCAATCACCCTAAAACAATAAAGATTAGTATGGGAGTTCCAAAACTTTCCTAACTTACTTACTCTGGAGGTACATCATGATTGCTGGTTTGGGTTTTTCTTCTTTTTGTTGTACTCAATGTATTGTAGGTTTTATTAAAGGAGTTGGCAGAAAGAATGTTTCCAGCAACTGCACTATATTCCCGTATCTGAAATTATAAGGTAGAAGAGTTACATGATACTGGAATAATGCTAACATTACCTTATCAGTCCAACTGTGGCTATCAACTAATTGTCCATAGAGGGCTTGTCTTTTTTGAGTAGTTTCTTGACTTAGAAATGCTGTATTTCCTAAACTTAAAGCACCTGGAGGTGGGGTTATGTTGGCAACAGAACTGTCCACATCACTGTAATAAATGAGAGTTCAAAAAAATCCACGAATTATAATTGATTGCATTACCTCAAATTATTATTCACTGTTGTCAGGAATTCTTGAAGTTCAAGAGTGAATGCACCATCTTCTCCATGGTCTGCTCTTAAGCCGTTGCTGACAGACTCAAAAACACTTCGCACATTGGACCTCAAAACTTTAATAACATTCAAAGCTGCATTTAATTGCTCTATATCCCTTTCCATAATGATCAGAAGTATGCCTGTTGAGAGGAATGTAAGGTTTCTCACTGTAACCTTATAGTAGAGCACTGGGGTATTTATTCAACTTGTTCCTAGAAAGAACATATTCAAAATGAGACCTTACTATACTTACAGTAGGACAACTAATGTTTCTAGAGTAAAGCGTATTTATGTTGATTTATGAAGTTTTGTGGGCTAATATCAATCAGATAAATGTGAATTTTAGAATGAGTAGTTCCTGGTCAAATAGTTCACTCCTGAACAAAATCTATGATGGCATGTTGTCTGTTATTTATGTTACCAGTGCTCATGGGTCTGTGTAACAAGTATTTACATATTTGTCTTACATTTTTGACCAGATGGTTCTTGTTGAAAACACGATCAATGACAAATGCAGATTTTTCATGTCCACAGTACAAACCCACTATTTAAATCCGCTCTTGAAGTGCCAATTATACTTAGGTTCTTATTGCTGTTATTTTCATTAGTATCATTCCAGTGTTCAGTTTCTTCTTATTTGGAAGTGAATCAATTATTTTGATATTTCTTCTAGGATTACTTATCATTGTAATATAAAAAATGTTACTGGGTCAGATACAGAATTGAAAGACCCCTCAGGGGGTTGATTCCTATGTAGAAATGTTTTCCCTCGAAAACCACGGTTGATGTGCTTTCCATTTTTTTTTCAAGTCAAAATATCAACTTACTCAGAGTGACTTATTTGAACTGGAATTCAGTGTATGTTGCAGATACACATGGGTCCATAGTCATCTGGAAACCCTTAGATGGGTTCTTGAATGGACTTTTTATACAGTACCCTCGTCAGAAATCCCACAATTATTCATTCTCCCACAATTTTACTACTTTTTACTCCCCCTTCATTTTTATTTAGATTTTTCTTTCAAAGTTCAAAATTTGTTTTTTTTTGTTACTAACCAACTATTGTTTCCTATGATGATTCAAATTTGCTGGTAATTCCAGTTAGTATTAAAGTCGTGTATTTTACTATGTATTACCTGAAACACAAACAAATTCAAATTCGATCACTTATCAACACAAGAACCAACAAACATCACAAATTATGCGATACAACTACTTTAGAATACAGGATTTAATCTGTATTTATTCATTTATTATAAGACCTGAGATTGTACCCAGGGTTGCCAATGGAAAGTTAAGAAAATAGGAGTATGACGCTAGGATTGCCAACTTTGAAATCACATGAAAAATTACTGCATATTTAGTTTGAAATATTACACTTGGTTTGTACATAATATGGCGTAATCTATATGAAATGAGCATTTTTCTTTTATAATAATGATTTCATCAATATCTGGAGCACACATTTCATGAGTCAGCTACTCTATTTATCAATGGTGTCAATTGCTACGCTGTTATTGGTAATATTAATGTAAAATGAATACAATGAAACTCAAGAATGAACAATATAAATCTGAACTACATATACAACTGACACTAATGACAAATACATAGAGTAGTCACTTCAGAAAAAAATATGTTCTGCAAATAAAATCTTATTGATATAGACGATAAAATATGAACGATAAAATGATATGAATGAAAAAACGACAATTCGAATATCAACTGTAGATGAGATCTGACATTAGTGAAAAATATGCAGAGTTGTCAATACCTATAGCAGAAATAAAAGTACTTCAAATGAAATTAGATGCCCGTACAAATCAGCAGATAAAAAAGAAATACGTACCGTAAAACGGGGTTACTTCGAACCATGAGGCTACTTTGAACAAAATATAAATTTTGTTATATTGACTCATAGTTAAAAAACCATTAGGTTTAGCAACATCTAGCTGTCATCACTCAATTCGTCACACATTTAGGAATGGTATAGCAACACTGGTATTCGAATACTTTTTGTGAAGTTGGCAATCGTGACATGTCATTTCTTACCTACAAAACTCTCTGACTCAAAACTGACGTTTGATGAGGTCTGCAAACTTTTGTTGCTGTAGTCGTAAGTATTCACACTACATATTTACTGAATATATTTGCTGCAATACATTATCATAGCAAAGCTATATTGAACAAAATTGAGATATTTCAACACCCTTTCTCATAAGTTGTCTATCAGAACAATGTGATGATACAGAAGTGGATGTGTACAAAGTAGCTGTTGATAAATTAAATGATTACTTCTATCCAAAGCAGTCAAAAATATATGAACGTCATCTTTTCCTTCTGACAAAGCAAGAACAGGGGGGTTCGAAAAATTTTTGGTTCGAGTTGTTTGAGAATTTGACGAAATTAATGTTTATTTTGTTCCCTTTTTTAATGTTTTTTGTTACGCCAATGTTTATTGATATAAAAGAAAACGTCACGTAATTGTCAAACAATTAATTTCGAATTGTACAACATTTACGAAATAAAAACCGTTTTAGAAGCTATAAGCAGACCAGTTTCTTAGTGGAACAACGTAAGCGGTTCAGACTATAGTTTCAATAACATAATTTGGTAGCAGAGCGTGGTTACCGCAATAAAAACATAACATAATTTGGTAGCAGAGCGTTATTGCTGGTCATCCCTCATGATTTACCAGCAGAAACAAGACAACTAGTAGAACGCAGGTAACCGGCCCATCCAGCTTTCGCTGCAAGATCAGGACGGTGCCCATAGCGAGATCTTCTAAGGCTTTTACAAAGTGAGTCCATTCCTATCCTTATTATCCTCATACCGTTTCCTTTAAGTACTGTTTTTGCCAGCTTAGGAACTGTATTTGCTCTTTATATACGGTTCGCTGTCAAAGTTCAGTCAAGTTGTGTGAGAATAATAGAAAACGCATTAAAGGCAAAGTTAACAATATTCTTTAAGTATGTGGATGAGGTGAAGGGGAAGTTGTCTATCAGAACAATGTGATGATACAGAAGTGGATGTGTACAAAGTAGCAGTTAATAAATTAAACGATTACTTCTAAATGAGATGAAGGATAAGTCAGACATTTCAGACCTTGATATCATTCAACTAAAAGATAAATTAGAAAGAATTGAACAAACTATGATTGAATTTGATCGTATTCAAAATGTCATTGAGTGTTCGACAGATGAGTTAGAAAGTGAAATTTTCGAAACACAGTCATTTGAAGACTTTTTCTACAACCTTACTTCAATTGCCAAAAAAATTATAAAAGATTTTGAAATTATTTCAAATCAAGATAATGTATCTTCTCATTCCTCAATTCTCTCTGAGCCATTGGCGAATAATTCTATTTCAAACCAAAACTTCAATGTCAAATTACCTACTATAAGTTTACCTACATTCAGTGGAGAGTATGCAAATTGGTTGGAGTTTGGCGATACTTATGAATCTTTAATTCACCAAAATGTAAGTATAACTGACATTCAGAAGTTTCATTATCTTCGATCGGCTTTGGCTGGAGGCGCGACTCAGGTTATGGGTTCTCTTGAATTTACATAAAAAAACTATGCAGTAGCGTGAAAAGCTATGCTTGAGCGCTTTAATAAAAATAGAATACTAGTTCAGAATCATGTCAAGGCTTTATTTAATATGGAGTCTTTGAATAGGGAATCAGCAGATGGAATAAGAAATTGTATGGATACTGTTTCAAAACATATGCGAGCGTTGGAACAGCTCGAACGATCTACGGATAAATGGGATACACTAATAATTTATTTAGTGACAACAAAATTAGAGGAATATGAAGCGAATAACAATTTACCGGCTTTAAATGACTTCAAAATATTTTTGAAATCACGAGCTGATTCATTATAAACTTTAGAGACAAATAAACTTGAAGAATCGGCTAAAGCCAAAATATTCAAGTATTAGATGCGAACAAAGTTTATCATACAGTTCGTGCATTGTTAGATTCAGGATAACAATCTAGTTATATTACAAAAAATATATGTATACGATTGAATTCAATTAATTTATTAGTTTCTGGAATAAGTCAATCAACTTTGAATATAACAAAAATGTAATTTAACAATTCAATCACTTCACAATGAATTTTTTGAAGATATTACATGTTTAGTTATTCCTCATATTTCCAGCGAGTTACCGAGAGTATCTCTCAACATTAAAGACTTGAATATTCCTAAAAACCTGATTTTAGCTGACCCGTCATTTTATGAACCAAGCCAAATAGACATGCTCATTGGGGCCAATTTGTTTTGTAATTTGTTGGCAGAAGGTCAGATTTTGTTAGGAAATAATCAACCTGTCCTACAAAAAACACGTTTGGTGTGAATTGTTTCCGGTCCATGTAATACAGTTCAGATTTCAAATAAGACTTGTAATTTCAGTCGAATACGCGATATTCAATTTCAATTATCGCGTTTTTGGGAGTTAGAAGAATTTACAGATGAAAAAATGTGGTCAAAAGATGAGATGGCTTGTGAATATCATTTTATAGAAAATACATTGGGCAATTATGATGGCAGATTTGTAGTAAAATTGTCATTTAAAGACGACTTGAAAAAACTTGTCGATTCTTACGAACACGCAAAGAACGAAATTCATTCTTTAGAATGTAAATTTCGAAGGCAACCCAATTTGAGGGAAGAATACATAATATGAGTAAAATGAAACAAGGTAATGCTAATATTTTCTCAAAATTCTGTTACTGCATGCCTCATTATGCCGTGTTGAAGGAAGATAGCATTACCACAAAACTACGTGTTATTTTTTATGCTTCTGCTCCAACAAGCAGTGGTTTTTCACTTAACAATATTCAGCTAGTAGGACCAACAATTCTGAATGATTTATTATAAAGATTATTACGATTTAGACAGCATGCATATGTGGTAGCAGCTGACATTGGAAAAATGTAACGTCTAATTTCAATTTCAGTACATTATCCATACTTGAGATTGATAAGGCTTTTTATTAAACACTTTTAAAATTAGCTCAATAACATTCATTCAATAATGAAATTCAGATCATCACAGAAAATAAAGAAAATATCAGAAATAGTAAAATTCAGAATTCAAACCCATTCCTTGATGATGACGGTATTCTGAGGGTCGGAGGTAGATTAGGAAATTCATTGTACAGTAACGATAAAAGACATCCAATCATATTAAGTGCTAATCACCATCTGATTAAATTAATATTCGAGCATGAGCATTCTATACTTATGCATTGTGGTCCACAGCAATTATTGGCATCGTTGAGAGAAAAGTATTGGCCCATTGGTGAAAGAATTCTTGCTAAAAAAGTAATACAACATTGTGTCAAATGTTTTCGAACTAATCCAATAGGGATACAGCCACTCATGTGTCAATTGCCTGCGTCTCGTCTGCAGCCAGCTCCGCCTTTAATACTACTGGTATTGATTATGCGGGTCCTATTTTAGTCGAAGATCGTAAAGGTCGAGGATCAAAACTCAATAAGTGTTATATAGGACTCTTTATTTATTTTGCCACAAAGGCGATTCATTCAGAATTGATTTCAGACTTAACCAAAGATCCTCTTCAGATGGCATTTAGAAGGTTTATGGCTCGTCGCGGAAAACCTTCTCATTTATCTAAAGCAAATGGAACTTCAAACGTTCAAGCCAGTCTCTATATACCTACACAGTAGGTTTAATGGACTGACGCCTATCAGAAAACAACTACTCCCCTGGCAAATACCACGAAGGGCGTTGGATTATATCAGACAGGCGTCAGTGCAGGAATCTTCACAGAAAATGTCCTGCATATAGCCCTTCGTGGTATTTGCCAGGGGAGTAGTTGTTTTCTGATAGGCGTCAGTCCATTAAACCTACTGTGTAGGTATATAGAGATATAGAGACTGGCTTGAACGTTTGAAGTTCCATTTGCTTTAGATTTGTTTACTGCCAGTCTTCAAGCATGGCCCATTGACTAATGAGAAAACTTCTCATTTATTTTCCGACAATGGTTCAAACTTTGTTTCTGCTAGATCTCATTTGAAAGAATTGGGTAGATTTTTGTTAGATCATAAAAACGAGTTAGAAAATGAAATTTCTGCATTCAATATAAAATGGGATTTGATTCCTTCTTATTCACCTCATTCCGGAGGGATTTGGGAAGCTGGAATAAAATCAAGCAAGGCTCATCTGAAAAGGGATGTTGGAAA